ATGAGAGCTAATTTCTGATCCGGATTTCCTCTATAACCTCATAAATTTTTTTTATTTTGATTAATATCATTTCAGAAATTTCAGGTGTGTGTCTCTCATTTTCTTCAATATGAATGACTCATGGACTTGTTCTGGGTGGTTTGGAGATCTGAGATTGCATTTTGCTTCCTGATATTTTCATCTTGTGGGCTCATGTAATGGTGGAGAGGCACTGGGAGTGGCTGTCACCTAGGGCACCCCAAACCTGTGTTCCCAGCAGTGGAGAAGAGGAGATGGAAATGGCTGCACATCACATTTTTATGATTCATTCTTCTGTTTATCGGTATGTCACAGCTTAACCATTGTGAATTGCATTGATACAAACATAACTATGGCTGTATCACTATAGTATTCAGTCCAAGAATCTTTCTGGAATACAATTAGGTTGTATAGTTGAGTTTAATGGTATTTTAAAAGGCTTAAATGTTCAGAGGTAGCAAATCTATATAGCATGCATGTTATTTATTTTTTAAGCAAAAGATGTTAATGTACAAGATACTTTCTTCTAAACTAAAATCCTAAAATTGAAGTTTAATTGTAGTATTGGCACATTGTGATAAGTGGATTTGGGGTTGTCATTTGAGCATTCATTTGAAGAAGGTTTGCCATCATTGTTTAGACTTTTGAGGAATCTTCATACTGATCTTCACACGGCTTGTACTAGTTTACCTGCCCAGAAACAATGTAGGTACCTTTCTTTTCCTCTGCATTCTTATTTGTAGGTGTTTTTGATTGTTTCTGTGTCTTTTCCTGTTGGCCCACATTTATAGTTTGTGCAATGCTATTTATTTAACTATTTCCTTCTAGATTAGTTTGAAATACATATACAATGCCTCCACTATTACTATTTTGTTTGAGTACTGCTTTGGCTATTCTGATTCTTTTTCTATATTTAATGAAATTTATAATTGTTTCCAGTTTGTTGAATAATATTGCTTTCCTATAGGGATTGCATTAGTGTAAAGCTCTCCACTATGGCCACTTTGCAGTTTTCACACTACCAACCCAAGAACAAGGGTTTTTTTCCCCCATTATTTTTTATGCTCTTCAATTTCTTTCTTCAAAGTACTGTTAAGCTTCACTATAGAAGACGTTTACCTCTTTTGTTATGTTGATTTCTATGCATTTAAATTTTGAAGGATTAGTGAAGAAATATTTTTCTGATCTCCACAATGGGTTCATCATTTATATACAGGAACAACAATTTATTCTTATGTATTGGTTTTGCATTCAAGCACTTTACTCAACTTGTGTGTCAGATCTAAAAGTTGTTTGGTGCAGTATTTTTGGACATAGTATGTAAAGAATCATATCACCAACCACAAAAGAATAATTTGGCTTCATTTACTTGTTGAGAAATTCCTTTTCTTTCTCTTTATTAGTTGTTCTGACAAAAATTTAAAGCACTATATTGAATGGGAGTGATTGAAACAGATACTCTTGTATCCTTTAAGGTGTTAGAGAAATTCTTTCAGGTGTTTTTCTCATTTAATAACAATGTTTGCTATGGGTGTGGCTTTTGCCATTTTCAAGTAAAGTACTTTCAAACTAATTGCAATAGAGTTTTCAGAGTACAGGAATGAGTGTTGGATTTTCCTCAAATGCTTCTTCCGGATATATTGGAATGATCATAAGATTTTGTTTTTAAATTTATTTATGTTATTCATTAAGTTTACTTAGATCTGTTGAACCAATTTTGGATTTTTGAGATAAAATCAGTTTGATATTAATGTATGATTCATCCAATGTACTGTTGAATTCTGTTAATTCAACTCATCAATTGATGAGTCTTGTATTTATAATTGTGAAGGATACTCATCTATCTCTTCCATTTTTGTGGAGACATTATCTGGTTTTGGTATTGGGATATTGCTGCTATCATAGAATTACTTTGAGTGGAAATATATCCTTTCTATTATATGGAAAAAATGAGGGAGGAGGAATTTGTGTTAGTTCATCATTGAAATTTATTCAGCTACAAATTCATCTGGTGCTATAATATTCTAATTGGAATTGTTTAATACTACTTCAACATTATGACTTGCTATTGACATTCTTAGATTTTGTATATATCATTGGCACAAATTAGGTACTTCATGCATGTTTAGTAATTTAACCATTTCTTCCAGAATTTCCAAACTATTGGGATATAAATTTTAAGTAGTTTCTGATGTTCCTCTTTATTTCAATGATGCCTACTGTAATTCATGTTTTTATATTCAATTTTCTTAATTTGAGCCTTCTCATTCTTTCAGTAACTTTTGATAAAGATTTAAGATTTACTAACTTCCTATCTTTCTTTCTTTTCTTTTCCTTTTCCTTTTTTTTTTTTTTTTTTTTTTTTTTTTTTTGGTCTTTTTTGTAACGGGTCTCCCTATATAGTTCAGGCTGGCCTTGAGCTCACTTTGTAGCCCAGGCTGGTCTGGAACTCACAATGATCCTATGATCTCAGCCCTCCTGAGTGCTGGGATTACAGGCGTGAGCCACCATGCCTGGAAAACTTCCTATCTTTCAAAGAAACAAATCTTTGCTTTGCAGAATCTTTGTGCTTTTTTAAAGGTTGAGTTTCATCAATTTCCTCTACAACCCTCATATATTTCTTCTAGTGGCTTGCTCTTTGTGTGTGTATCTAGTTTTACAATTGTCTTTTAATTAAAGAGTTATAATTATGAACAGGGAATGTTATTATTAAAAGCTGCACACATGCTCTTGTCACTTTTTTGCATTCCTTGTGCTTGATTCCTTTCTATTTATTCTTTTATCTTTTCTTTTATTGATCTTTCTTTTTCCCATTGTCTCTCAGCTGTGGTCATGCACGTTTGTATTGAGGATTCCTTTAAGCGTTTCCAGCAATGTTGACAGAGAAGGCATGAATTTGCCTTTTGTTTTTAACACAGAAGGTCTTTATTTTTTCTTTGATTTTTGAAAGAATCTTTACAGAACATATGAATCTAGATTGGCAAATTATTTCTTTCAGGTCTTAAAAAACTTCACTCTAATTAGTCCTGACCTTTGTGAGGAATCTGCTGTTTTTCTTATCTATTTGACCTTACAAGTGACTTGGAAGTTCTCTTAACAGCTTATAATATTTTTTATTTGTTTTGGCATTTTGACTATAATGTGCTACAGGGGGTTTATTTTCTGAATATGTCTATGTGTAATTCTAAATACCTTCTTTACTTAGGTACTTGTCTCATTGCAAAATTTTAGGATATTTTCTGCTGTAATTTCATTGGATATTTTTAATGCATTGTATTTTATTTCAGCACTTTCTACTAGGGCAACAGACTAAATTCCTTCTTTTAGATTTAGGTAGGAAATGATTTGTAGTTGGATCAGTATTGGTCATTTCTTTTCCCATCTTTGCTCTGTATTCCAGCACTTCTACCCTATTTTTTGCACCAGAAATTCTATCTCCTGGTTGAACTTGCCTGCTGCCTAAGTTTTCAAAGGAATTTTTAAAAAAATTTAATTTATTGATGTTTTTGCCTTCAGGATTTCTACATGGTTCTTTTTCAGAGATCCTCTCACTTAATGAGATAGTCTTTAAGACTCTGCACTATCTTCTATAATTAATTCAATTGCTTTTCATATCTTCTTTGAGCTCATAGGTCAATTTAATTATTAATTCATTCATCTATTTATTGGCCTCTTTATTGATCCTATTGGCCATTTTACTTAACAGTTTTTAAAATTCTTTGCCTCTAATTTCATCTACTTCCTCAGCTGTGAGGTTAGATCTTGCAGAGTGGTGTATTTGTGCAGGCATCTTGTTGCCTTGTTTTCTCATTTTGGTTCTTCCTCTGTGTTGAAGTTGGGAGTTCAATTTGGAAATCTATCTCTTCCTCTATATTGTTGGGGATTGAATGTGATTCTGTCTTTCTGATGTGCCCAGGATTACAAGTAAGACTCATTAGGAAAATTTCAACTCATCATTTTCTGGATACTGTTAACACTGACAAATATAATCCAAATATTTCTTGGGATTGGCAAGGTACAAGATAGAGCTTCTTCACTGGATAGTGCCCACTCTAATGATCCAAAAAGATGTAATGTGTTGATGATAGTGTATTAGGGTGCATATTGTTGGTCCTCTTGTGTACTATGTGTGACTCTCATGTGTGACAGTTACTACCACTGTCCTTGTTGGCTCCTCTCCTACATGAAGTGGCACTGAGGGTCTACCTGTACATACTGGGAATTAAGAGTTTGTTCTTTACCCACCAATGCCCTTGCCTAAGGTGTACTTGGACACAGTCCTATTAGGCAGTAAAGTTTTAGCTTTCTTGATGTTTTGAAAGAATCTTTTTCAAAATATGAGGAGCTTGAAAATGGAATCTCCACATTGCACACAGTCATGGATGTTAACCTTTATTCTGGAGAAGAGTAAATCTGACAAAAATCATTTCTGTTTGTTTTAGAATTTCTTTATAGCTAACGTGATAGGTAAAAGGATGATTATCTAGATTTTATGAAGGAAGCTGCCAGTCATTATTCTGTTTCTTGAATCTTTTACTTATGAAAGTCTCACATGTCACAAGAACTGTTTTTGAAAAAGCTAATTAGCAATCTGGATGTGGTGGTGTGCCCTGTAATCCTAGGCTTCAGGATGTTAAAACATGATTGGAGGCCAGACTGAAATAAGCAACAAGACCCTGTCTGAAAACAAAACAAAACAGACAGAAAGAAAACAAGAAATAAAAAAGAATAAAAGAAAGAAAAAGCTAAAGAGTAAATACATGCTAAACAGGTTATATTAACTATATTAGAACAGAGGTGTGAAAAGGTTGCATATGAGTTTTAAAGAAAGCTGTTAAATTCTTTTATAAAATTTATTTCAAACTATGATTTCCTGCAAGCATCAGGATCCCAAGTGAGTAAACATAAAATCAAGATTTACATGACTGACTGTGTGAGGAACAATGGGAAAAGATTACCTCTCCAATACAGATCCTACTCACCAGCATAAACCAAAGGAAGTTGAATCCGAGAAATAATGCTATGGGCAGCAGTACATTCTGGCCTACTGTGATGGCTAGCATCACAGAATCAGTTGAACAAGCCATCATCCAAAGGGTAAGCATTGTAATGAAGAAAGCCTCCACTGCTGGTCTCAGTCCTTAGGGGGGAAAAAGAGATTATTTCAGCTGCCTGGAGTGTCATATATTTCTGATAGGTTACTGTGCAAATAGCATTACAATATTCTGAGAAACTAACAAGAATGAGAAAGTAACCAACTAATGAGGTACCCTAGTTCACCAATTTTATTGTCTCCTGAATGTAAATGTAAAAACTTATCACAGTTTTCTATTTATACTTATTATAAAGCAAATTTCCATATAGCATCTGTGATTAGTACATGCCATTTTGAATAATCTCTGTTTCCAGCTCTTTGTCTTGCTACTTACCTACTGTGATGTACAGAATGAAAGTAAAAATAAAACATTGCAAGAACCTCTTGGGTATCAAATCACACAACAGTTTTCCAAGGAAATAAGATGGCTCTTTGTAGTATCCACTCATGTACTCGTGCCTATAAAAGACAAACACATATTATACATCCCTGATAATTTAATAAGGCACCAACTAATAGGTAAGATGGTTTCTGTACAGGTTTCTACTGCCACATGTATAATATGAGAGCTTCCCAACATCCTATATGGTCCCTCCAACTTATCATGCTTTCAGATGCAAGCACTTCTGCATAGCAGTCACAGAAGACTCTCACTGTGATCCTTTTTTATTACAGATTTCTCCTGTTGTCATCCACACTGTACTTAGAACACGCTGACCTATGCACAGAGTTTGTGTCACCTCACTCTCACTATAGACTGTGCGTCTCTGGTACTGACTCTCTTTGAAGCACAATGCTTGAAGTACAATTTTCAGTGGTCATAGGACTCTTCTTGTCTCACTCCTGAATATGAAGATGACAACTGGGAATTTAACTCAGTGGCATAAGCACCTGCTTGGCAAGTGTGAGGTTGTTAGTTTGATTCCTATTACCACATAAAAACAAAACAAAAACCCAAAGTAATGAAAAACAAAAATGAAAAAGGTGACGTTATTGTTCTCTGAGTCCTCAAATGTAGCTTCAGATCATTAATCTGTTTTTACTTCAACTACTCTCATGATTTAAAAACAGATTTCTTTTAGTGATTATGACTCTAACCTACACAGTCCTGTCAGCCTCTAAATTCTAATCTTTCTTCTCCCTGCCTATTCAATTTCTCAAATCTTTAACTACTTTCTTCACGCCTCCCCTTTTTGATGATTCCTGTGCTTGATATCTAAATAGGGGTAAATCTCTTCCATCTTTGAAAACATAAGACACAAAATTCTCCTTTTTAGTAAAGCAACCTTTTGGCTCTTTCTACTCCTCCAACCTGTGGTTTAACTTGGTCACATTCTTTGTTATCTTTATCTTTGTTATCTCAACTCTAAATCAACTGATGGTCCACTGCTTAATCTTCTGCGAGACTCTCAAAACCAATCACTTTACCCCTTTATCACTACATACTCTGAAACACTGGCATTTCCTGAATAAAATCTAATATTGCAATCTTTGTAACTTGGTGTTAGGTCCCCCAAATTCTTGATTTTCCCTTTCCCTTTGGCTGTATGTTCTCAATAAATGTTGGTGATCTTCATAAGAAATTTAAAACCATGTTACAAATGACAAATACAATTTATAATTGAGAATTCAACAACTAAATAAGAAAAATTTAATAAACACTAATAATCCACAGCATCACAATCTTAACCATATTCTGGATTTTGCCATTTCCCAACATCCTCTGATGGCCTTTCCCAAACCAGAGCTGTACTCACATAAAAAGTTTCTTTTCCCCAAGAAACAACTGTACTGCAGAAACAAAGTCTTCACAAAAGGAGATTGCCACCAAACAGAACATCCAGACTCTGTTGGAATAGAGCAGAAATAAAGAGCACCACATTTATTTAAATATCTTTAGATCAGTTTTCTACTCACAGGAGTTTCAAGAAATGATGCAGTATGCAACTGATCAAAGAGAAAGGAAGAATATAGATCTGCTCTGAGGAAAATGGAGAGTAAGAAAGATGAAAAGAGCAGAGCTAAAGCAGACACTAGCTCAAATCCTTCCCATGACCTGTCATTCAGACTTGTTGGGAATATCTTTTCCTTTGGCTGAGGTCATTGTATTTATTTTTAATAAAGAGAATGTTGACTACCTGTACTTCCTACATGGATGTTTTCTATATTTGATGTGTGAATGTGATAAAGCCATGGAAGTCTTCCAAAGCTTCACCCATGGTCTGGACTTTGTACAAGTCCTTGACGTTTTCAGCATTTTCACAGGATATTATATTACAGGAGCCTAAGTCTGAACCACAAGCTTTTATGAAACTAATATATATATATATATATATATATATATATATATATATACATATATATATATAAAATCATTGAGAAAGTAAAGAAAAAACAACATCCTGTCTTCTTAAATGTTCAATTAGAAACAAATCACCTGTTCCTTGTCCTGCTAATAGCTAAATTTCTGATATCACACTATACTATTACTGAGTCTCAAGAAGGAATAAAATTCAAAGACAATTTAAAACCTTGTTGATCATGAATAACATATATTTAGTGAAATACACACACACACACACACACACACACACACACACATACACACACACACCATATACTCTGTAGCTCCATACGTATAAAGCCACCAGGGTAGTCAAAATCAGAGACAGAAAGAGAAATGTTTGATAGAGTTTTGATAGAGTTGCATGGGGAATTATTGTTCTTCTAGATATGGGTATTCCTTATGCAAAGATAAGGAGCAGTTGTGGAGTTGGATGGTAGTTATAGCTGTAAATGTGAATGCACTTGATGCAATTGAACTTTACATTTATGATAGATAAAACTGAAAATATGTGTTGTGCATACATCAAAACCACACACATACATAAAAGTGTGATAAAGAAAGTAAACATTGTTATTCACTTTTCATGCAAGTCATTTCACTACAGTACTACAATGATGCTGTAAAATTATTAACAGATAGCCATACACTTGAACAAAATGACAGAATTTCCCACATCAAGAGATAAAATTACTTACCTAATCTGGATGGCATCACAATCATTTTTTATTCCAACGAGAAAAACACCTATAAGCAGTACCTGTATAATCATGATAAAGATCTTTCCAAAAGAAAAATAAAAAAAGAAATGAGATTCAATTATAAGTAAAATTTTTACACATTATTACTATTAGAATATACTTTATGTGAATATATATCACCACTCAACTAAAGATTGTAAATACAGTGGCCAAAGTTCAACAGAGAATATAAAATACACTTTAGTAGTCTGTTCCTTACATTAAAATGAAAATTTAGGAGTTGTGTGATGAGCTGACAGGACAACATAGGAGATGGCAGGGAAAGCTAAAGTTCCTCCCAGTGTCCCGCCAGGCACTGTCAGATCAGAGCACAGCTCAGTTGCGGCACTCAAGAGTGTCATGAAGTGTAAAAGAGCAATGGAGTCGGTACCTCAACCCCTATAGGAAAGAGTCCTGTTCTCTATTTCTGCCTACTTGCTTTGTGTCTTGCTTCCCCAACTGACTGTGATTTAATCAATTTCACCTGAGCAATTATACTCGTAATCTTATTGGTTAACCATTGTACTGTTCCACCTAATGCCCACCTGGCAAGTTTCCATTTTTACTGATCTTGGACATACCTCACAGTGTGGTTTTGTTGTATAAAAATCCTTAGAAAACACAGAATCTTTGACAATCCAATCAAGACCCCTAATGTCTCTCTGTCTCTCAGACAGAAGCTTTCTCTCAATAAATATATTGTGCTCCAAGGGGAAAAAAAAGCAATGCAGGTACCTGGAGGGGTCCTTGTTCGAATAAAATAAAGTCTACATAACTAAGAGTTGTGTGCTGAATTGAAATCTCAGTCTGTGTGCTAGTGGACATGCACGGTTTTATATTTCAAGAGGCAAAAGTGAAAAGGTAAATTTAAACAAAATTTTAGGGCTATGAAATAGCTCAGAGGTAGATGATAGAGTGTTTTCTTGGCATACATAAGAATCTGGGGTTGATCTACAGTACCAAAAGCTGAATGAATAATACATGTTTTAAAACACACAATGCCATCTTCAATAATAAAAAGCTACGATGAATTGAATGCCAATTATTCAAACTTTAAGTCCTTGATTGCATAGCTAAGGAAATGGTCATTTTAATCAAATCATTCAGGCAGCTTCCTAGGAAACTTAAGAGCTGCCTTTACCCCAATCTTTCACTGCTTCTCTATCAACCTTAGCCAGTGAGGCTTGCAGTCCACACAACCACCTGAGCTGCAAATGCTTGTTTCCTTTACCTACTCAGTCTGTGTAGATGACTCCCTGGGGAACTACACCAAAACCTCCTTTGCTGTGAGGAGAAAAAGTCTCTGAAGTATCAATAATTAGCTAAGGCTTCAGCTCTACTTCATGATGTAATATACAGGAATTCTACTTATAGTTACTCGTGGATTAGATATAAGAATATGAGAAACTATCCTCTAAAATAAAAATATCCTACCATAAATCCTGAAAATATCAATTTTTAAAAATTTCATAATAGTAGTATCCAGATAAGAAGTAATTTATAAAGGATTAAAACTAGAAAAGGCAAAGTAGTAAAACAGAATAACAATCTACAAAGATTAGTTTGTGAAAAGCATAGACTGTGAAGGATACCATTTAAATGTTGACTCATGTGGTCATCTTAAAAATTCTCTTGCTAATCAAATAGTAACATGAGTATGATTCCATAACCCTGGCATATTTTCATTATACTCTGTGGATACACACTTTTTTGTTTCAGCAGAAGGTTTTGCAAGATAAACCCTGTGGGCTTAATCAAAATTTATCAAAATGCTCCTTAAACAGATAACTCATTCATGGCAGGATCTTCCAAATACAATCATTAGTAAATGATCAGTACTAAAAACAAATCAAGGAAAAATGAAAACAGCATAAGAAAGAAGATGTAAGATTTATTTACAAGTATTCATAAATATCTCAATAGCTTCAAATACAAAAAAACACTCAGAAAAAAATAAATCTATAAGGTGAAACATCCATCCCAAGGGTCACTGACCAATGCCCCACTGACCATAGGGTCACTCATCTACTTGTGCTAGGCTGTGAGTAATAATACTTTTACCAATTTTAATAACAGGATGAGGAGATTAAGAATAATGTTTCTCATAACATCAAATATATATGGAATTGAAAGTGTGGCATACATGAATAAAATTTTATCAACTCATAGCCTCATTCATTTCCTTACATATTAGTTGTAAATATATTCATAATAAACTAGAAGGATTCACAACCTGAGAAAAAAATCCATTTAGGATATGCACAATCTAACATATTTACATTTTGGTCCTCTACCAAAAAGGGTTCCCTGCTGCACTGATATTATTCCAGTATTTTTAAACGTAAGCAGTAGTTACCATTCTATGCTCAGGGAGCTACAAGGTCCTGCACTTATTCTAGAGACTGATACTTCTGTGAACCTTGCAGGGATAGCTTTTATGGAAACAAGGTCACTGGTGCAACTGGAGAATAATCTTGCTCCTGATGTTTACAGCACATAGAACCTAGCACCAAACCACATGAATTCCTACTGTATATTAGTAGGTGGGTTCTAATCATGCATTACCCAGAACTGCCACATGTTTGTCTTGGATCAGATATATACAAACCACTTTTTCACCTAGAAAGAAAAAATCCCATGCAAAAACTCCCTGAGAAGTTCTAAAATAGTGAAAACATCACATTACAGTGATGCATGCATACTCATGTTTATAGCCACACAATTCATAATAGCTGTATCTTGGAAGTAGTTATATGCCTACCAAAAGATTAATGGATAAAGACAATGTGACATTTACATATAAGAGTACTATTATACTGTGAATAAAGATAAGCATGAGTCATTTGCAAGATTATGTACTCACCTTGAGACCATAGTGTTGAGTGTAATAAATCAAACACACAAAAATATTGCATGTTTTCTCTAATATGAGAATCCAAAAATATGAATAAAGAAAAAAAAAGAAGACAGAAAATAGGAAGTTGGGAAAAAGAGCTTTTTCAAAAGAGAAGGGGATCAGCATAAGGAAGATGGTAGGAGTGGGGAGGGGAAGGGAAGGAAGTGAGAAAGGAATTGAATTATGCAGTGTACATGTAAAAACTCCCTATATGATATGTTACCACCATGTACTCCAAACATGGTTTGAGGAAAAAAAAAAGAATCAACACATTACATCATCTCAATGTTCAACAAGAGTTAATCAGTTTGATACATATATCTCATCAAATTTGTTCCAAATGACATCAAATATATTCTCAAAGACATAAAGTTACTCTTGACTGATGGGATAACAAAGTGACTGTATTCTTAGAGAAATGCTAAAATGTAAGCAACAAAACTTGTTGCAAGTGAGGGAATGACTCCAATAATATTGACTTTTCAGTGGATTAAAATAATAGTCAAAAATGAAAATTACAATATGCATTTTAAGTACTCTCTAGTATTTCATTAGTGCCAAAAACAAGTAATCATTTCATATGCAATAAAATCTAATTGACTGGTAATAAAAGCAACAACTCTAGAACAATCTGCTAACTTGATTCCCTCAGACATTATCAAAAAACAAACCAGGAGAACTAGTGTTTATGTGCTATCAGGAATAAGGATAACAGAGAACTAGTAAAAAGAAAAGCACATTTTATCACTTTGGTAAAGAGATTGTTGAGTTCGGTTCCTATCTGTTAATAAGCTGCAATCTCTTGAGGTTGCTATTGACCTTCAAATATTTGGGTCTCTGAACAGAAAAAAAAAAAACATGAATAAGCAAAGCATATGATTTGCAGGCTCTTGTCTCAGGCAGCGCATAACCCACAGCACCAGTTCAGGGTTACTGGTTTCCCTCGTTGCCTGATTTCAACACTAAAAAACCCTTCTCATCTCCTTCCCTCTCTGCCTTTTATCACTTCACAATTCTTTCTAACACTAGATGTGCTTTACTTATTTTTATTCAGTTACTTTTATGCCCTCTTAAGAAGATAAGTTTCACAAATGCAGAATTTTTAAAAACTTTTATTCATTGTTCTGTTATCTTGGAGTGGTTTTCTGTACTCAGCCAGGGAATAAAGTGAACAGCTGTTAGAAAAACACAAATTAAGTAGTGTTTCCTTTAGTTTACACATTTTGAAGCAAAATTCAAATTCTACTTAGATTATCCATCACAGTTTGTATTAAATATTTTGAACTATTCTAATGAAATCTTTCAAGAATAAAAACATTAAACATGTTTTCATGCTCTATAGATTAGTTCTATATCGTGGATGGAGTGAAGGTATCACGTACATGGAAGGGTATGTGGGTAGGAGAGAAGCTTGGACTAGAAGGAATCAAAACCAAATTTCTCCCACATAACTCTTGTAGAGCAATGAAAAGCATCTTCTAGGTTACCTGAATTATAGAGGTCTGGCGATCACCCAGGAAGTTTTTAAATGAGCGCCAGCTAATCCATCTGAGTTGATGCCAAATGGAGGTGGCATAGGTGAACTCCTTGAAGGCTGAGTCCTTCTTCTTCCAACCATCTGAGAGTTGGTCTAGTTTAAGTTTTGTAGTTTGGTACAAGGATGAGTTTTCATAGAATTTAGCTAACTTTTCTATGACTGGCTCCTCTTTTGTGGAAAATACTTCAATCTCCTCACCTTTGTAATAAAAATGGACAATGATAACAAACAGTATTACAGAAAAGAAATGATTGAATACATTTCACTGTGACTCGTTTCTTGTTTCACATAATTCTATAGCGACATAAAAAATTAATAGTTTTGTCACAGCTATATACACTAAACGTCCTAATGCCATAATCTTATACATACAGCAATCTGACTGCCATTTTCCCATTTCAGCACTAATTCTTAAAAAAGATGCATCATTGCACAGATGTATAACTGTTAATGTGAAACTCATGTCCTCGCATTTTACTCTGTTCAAATTCTAAAAGGCCAAGTTTCTTCTTTTAAAAATAATATAGGATCAAGAATTCTTTGAGTCTGAGACAGAATTTCAAGCTTGAGAATAGCGCTGGCAAATTAGAACCTATATGAAAAAAGAAAGAAGAAAGGAAGGAAGGAAGGAAGGAAGGAAGGAAGGAAGGAAGGAAGGAAGGAAGGCAAGAAACAAATAGAGAAAAAATGTGTTTAGGGTAACCCTAATCCTAACCTTAAGCATTACCTATCCTTACCCTCAGAAGGTAAATGGTCTTGATACATTTTTCATAAAACAAGGAATGAACATACTTAGTTTTAAGGAATTCATCTTTAAAATGATGGTAGTTTATAAATTAAATCAAAACCACCCAAAGCACTCATGGAAAATAGTGCATCTCTTGATTTCTATCAGAACATCATTTTAATCCAGGTATGAGGCAAGAGCATTGCTAGTTGGATTTCAGCCCGGGCCTGACTCAAAATTAAATTCATAGAAAGTGCAGGAATACAGCTCAGTGATAGAAAGCTCATCTGGCATCCACAAGCTTTGTGTTCAGTCCAGCATCAGAAAGGGGGTGGAGGAACATAAAAGAAAAGTGACTACATTCACAGACATTTACAAAGCCTTCTTCAGATGAGCTATCACTTTGCTAAATCTCAAGCTCTACGATTAGGTAAAACTCTGAATCTTACCAATCCACATACGTTCATGGTCTTTGTCTCTTGTGTCTGATTCCACAGCAGGGAAAACCCCACTGATGACATCTAGCAAGAACACTGCATGGTTGGTGTAGAGCTCACAGTTGTAACCTATGGAACAAAGGAGATAATCCAAGAAGACGAAGCTGCTGTCCTTGGAAATAAAAAGCATTCATATCAGAGTGACATGAGGCATGTGAAAACAAAATTTAAAAATTTCTTGTTTTCCTCCAATTTTCTCTCCTCCCTGAGTTATTTATCCTTTCCTGAGTACATATGATGTTTCAGTGTCTCTCTTTATCATATGTATCACGAAAAAGTGTAAGTGGCCGAATGTATGTCCTCTCTGAATTCCCCTAGGGAATATTGGAGCAACAGTACACTTGCCAATAATGACTTCTTTAGCTATTCACCTCAGAAGTCTAATTTTTGTGTGATTCTATCATTAACTCCAAATAGAAAAAGAAATCCCCACAGCAAAATTCTGCAGAGAATATGATCAACACAGCACACCGGAACTCAGAACTCAGCTTCTGTTGCTGTAATCATCTCAAGCTGACCTGAAATCTGACAGTTAAATTCAACTCCCATGAATTCTAAGAATTCATATGTATTATGCTTATTTTTAAAAATGAAGTAGTTTAAACAAATTTGTATGAAGACAGATGGCTAGCAAATATTTAAATTGTATTTAGGTCAGGGAGATTACTCATATGAAAATAACAGAAAAATAAAAGAGAGGTAATGTACCTTTGAAAACTAAACCACCAGACTCAACCTAAATGGGCAGAAATATTGGCACATTAAAAAAAAAAAAAAGAGTAAGCCTATCGGAAAATGGTGAAGTTGAAACCAGGCTGGGCAACTTAGTGAGTTCATGAGATATACTGTTTCAACATAAAAACTTTAAATGTTGTTAAACATGTAGCTTAGACTGCAAGCTCTTCCTTCATTTCTCAGAATCTTCCCCCCTTCCCCTCAAAAAATCTTGGCATATTCAAGTTAAAAATAAAAAGCAGCCAGGGATTTAGCTCAGCAGCATAAGTGCTTCCCTGGCAAGCACAAGGTTGTGAGTTTGATCCCTGGTACCTAAATAAATAAATAGATAAATAAATAAATAAATAAATAAATGGCTGCAAGTCTCACACACTAATTTCTAAACTCTCAAGAAAATTTGACCACACCTGGAAAGCAACACCGGCACAGATCAAGGAGACAAATTACAACAGACATGCACATGTGCACACATATTGAAATAGGACAGGAAATGAGAAAGGGCCTAAACAACAAACCAGTGTTGCAAAAAGAAGAAAGATCTGATACTAAAATGGCCAAAGACATTTTAGAGTACTAGAACCCAAGGTTCATCTACAGAAGATTAAGCAGTACTCCTGAATCCTCCTCTGCGCTCTTCCAGAATTATTTGCATGAGGCATCTACTGCATACAGAACTCAACCTTACCTGCTGATGCAAAGTAGTGTACAACCATCTGTGCAGGACCGTGGAATATTAGCTTTCCTGCAGCCAGTAAGGTGAGGCTATCAAACATCTCGAAGATGGAGTGCCGAGGCTGATGAATGGAGAAGATGATTGTTCGCCCCTGCTTTGATCTCCTAGAAAGGGGAAGAAGCAGTCATTACACATCTGAACTTGGCAGTTCCTGATAAAACATTTTATTCCTGATTTTAAACCATTTAATCCCAGTTAAATTTAATTTTCACTTAAAAATATTTCATTAATTAATGTTAACTTTAATGGTTTTATTAGGAAAAGGCAAGAGTTTTCTTACATGATAATGCATTTACAATACACAATCCACTAAAAGTCTTATTAAAATGCAGATTCTTGAACAGTTTTTCCAGACACTGATTTAAAATCTTGGTGGAGCATTCAAGGAGTCCACAATACTAAGAACCATTCCAACTAATTAGAAAACATACTCACTGTTGTGTTAGATGAATTCAATATGAAAACAATAATCACTCCTAAACCTTAAATCTTCTTGTACTTTATGATTATTATTAACTATTCTACCTCAAGAAATAACAATACTAAGTACCACATATACATATAAATGGAATGAATATATACAGATGTTATACCTATTTGAACACAGAAACTACACATATAAAATGTATTTATAGTCAACATAGTTTTATTGTTTACTTATAGTTTTATCATATATATTCAAAAGTATGCATTTTGTGGGTCTCTCTGTTGTGAGTCTAGAAGCCAAGATAACTCCATAGTTTTCAGGCAATTAAGGCTAAACCACAGCATTGAGTAGGGGAATAGGATCCATAAAAGAGGAGAGAAGGACACAAGCAGACATACAGAGGGAAAAGATGGGCATTTCCAATGCAATGACAGAAGGGTCAAAAGAACAATGCTATGGACATTTTGATCTCAGATTTCCAAGGTCCAGAATTGTAAAAAATATAAATTTTTATTGTCAAGCCACCAACTCTGTGGTATTTGGTTGCCCTCTTATACCTTGGCCAACCTCCACTCTCCTTATTTGCTGAGTATTGTACCCCAGGGCTCATTTATGTCCCATAGGCAGCAGGCTGGCTTGGCCACAGAGATGCTGGCTGTTCTTTCAACCAGAGCTTCCTCTTGCAATTTCCAGCTTGGCTTCTCCCCTCCTTGCAGCTCATATGATACAGTCTTAAGGTCTTTTGTGACCATCCTGCTATTGAAATCAGCCCTCACAACCAACACGGCCAACCCTCCCTGTGTTTCTCTTTCATCATTTTTGATAGCACTGCTGTGTTGACTGACTTATGCTGTTTTGTTATTCCATCCTTTTCATCAGGAACATGTGATACACAGAAATAGCAAGATATTCAATAAATAAAAGAACAGTTCCCATAACAGTTACCTTTTCAGAAGTAAAAAGACAGCATGTGCTGTGCTGCAGTCTAAAGCATTTGTGGGTTCATCCAGGAACAAGATGGAAGGATCAGTGACCAACTCCATGGCAATGCTGGTCTTTTTTCTTTCTGCTCTAGATACACCCTGGATTTGTTCAGTTCCAACCTAAAACAAAATGTTACCAACAGGAACGATCATAGTCACTAGCATTTGGTGAAAGACTCTGTGCCACCCTGTGTAATTTAAAATATTGCATAAAATATTACGCAACTTTAAAAACTGCATAAGTAAAAAACAAGTGAAAAATTATGGAATACAAAATTAAAAGACAAGAAATCAAGTTGATTTCCTACAATATTATCAATGAAGTCAGCAGGCTATTTTCTCTGAAATTATTTTATTTTATGTTTAAATATCATAAAAAGTAAAGAATTATTTCACTCACTGATATGAATTTTAAGAAGTCAATTATTTATTTGAATGTTTTTGCTCAAAATCCCAACAATTAATACAGAATAATAGATTTTAAAAACTAAAGTAAAAGAGACTACCTTTTGGGAAAGGAAAAATCAAGTAACACAGTAGCAGAGAAAAGAAAAAAATGAGTCATTCGTAATAAGAAAATAAGTGGTAAATGGAGACATAGCGGAGTTATTCTTCCAAACAAGAACAGTTCACAAAGTCTTTAGTAAATGTCATGGAAAGTAGCAGTGAGTGGAACCCTTGTTTTTCATTGACTTAAATAGGAGATGTCATGGTGGGTTAAAGTTCAGCCAATATCATCCAAACAGTTCATTTTCAAATAAAAAGCAAAATTATCTGCTTTGGATTTGTTTTATAGCGAATTCTCAACTGGAGAGGCGACTCAATCCTCTGATTTGCATTCATGGATCTGCATAGCCCTCACAATAGGGAGTTCTTTGTACTTTTACATTTTCTTTTTCACTTTTGCCCACCGTCTGTTTCTAACACCTGAAAGTGAGGCTCAGAAAGAAGATTCTGAAATAAAATGAAAAAGAAAGTAAAGGAGAGATGTACATGAGGAAGAAAGGGGAACGCTTGAGCAGGCAAAATGTACTGAACAAAACTCCTCATAACTTCTCATTTATCAGTTTCAGAAATGAGCCTTCAAAAAGCAACAGAAAAAAAACTTCCCTGGAGACAGGGAAAGAGAGGGAGAGAGAGACAGAGACAGACAGACAGAGAGAGAGAGAGAGAGAGAGAGAGAGAGACAGACAGACAGACAGACAGACAGACAGAGACAGAGAGAGACAGAGAGAGACAGAGAGTGACAGGTAGAGGTACAGAAATTTCTTTGATAGAGCAAAACACAAGTAGAAAATTTAGTGCAAAATTATCAAATGATCAAGAACAATGAGGCTGGACAAAGATCATATGAAACATACTACAAGAGCAACAGGTTTTCTTCCTAGAGCTTGTTCTACCCTAAGAATTTAACTATTCTTAAATTAGTTTTTCTAGCTTAATTTAAACATCCTTATGCTGTAACTAAACACTTTTCATTACAGAGAGCAACAACTTTGACTGCAAACAGAAAAAAAAGCTGATTAAGTCATATATTTTACACACGGGAAATCTTACGTGGCTATGATTTTACCAGTTTTCATGACATTACCTTGGAATCTGCCACTTTACCTAGACCTAACTCTTCAATGACCTCATTAATCTTCTCACTTTTTTCATGATTCGTCATGGTTGTTGGAAGCCGAAGAGCTGCTGAGAAGTGTAAGTTTTCTTTCACTGTCAGTGTGCCCATCATAATATCATCCTTAAGGCAAATGGTATTTTAGTGAGACAAACTGAGTCTTGCCTAAACTTGAGAACTTGTAAGTTAATCCAAGAATATAAAATAGCCAAAGTAAAGCTCTAGCTACTGGTGACCATTCAATCTTACAAATTACAGTAACTACAAGATAGATATCCACAGAAACAGTGGGATGATTTCCAGCCCATTTGCACATCTACGGAGAGTATAGGCAATTAAAATAACTTTGCACTCATAATAAACTTGCGTTTTGCTGGATGCTTTGCAGAAAAATAATTCTTCACATATGTCAGAAATAGGCATGAATAAGATTTATTATAGATTGTAAACTGGACCCTTGAAGGAGGTGCATACACTCAAAGAAATGAGACAGACTTCAAGCTGGAGGAAGGGACCCTGAAAGGGATATCTTTTTTTTTTTTTTTTTTTTTTTTTGTCTTTTTCCTTTTAGTTGGCACCAGGGACTGAACTCACGACTGTCTGCTTGCAAGGCAGGCGCTTATGCCGCTGAGCTAAATCCCCAGCCCCAAAAGGAATATCTTTAAAGGAAGCAATCTGCGATGTGTAATTTTACACTCTCAGGTTAAGGTGCATTTGACTGAACTTCGAACAATCTGTTACCAAGGATGTTGTTTTGGAGGCTGGAGGAAAGGCAACTTGCAGGTGAAATGCACAGGTCTAGTGACCTGGAATTTATAAACTATTGTAAAAAGAGCTTTAGGAATTTAACAAAATTTCAGTATAGATTAAGAAGGATGCACCAGCTGGGGTGATTTCTAGAAGCAGAGAAACAAAACCTTGCTTGCTGCAGTTTTTCTTAAAAGTATGATGTCAAGGGACCAGGGATTTAATTCAGCAGCATAAGTGCTTGCCTGGCAAGTACAAGGTCATGAGTTCAGTCCTCCGTACCAAAAATATAAACTAAAATAAAATAAAAGTATAATTTCATTTTTAAGCATAATTTTAAAATTTTGATTTCCTTATCTCCTTTATACCTGTTCTTTATTATCTTTATCCTACCTCATGAAGACTAGTAGCCAGCACTTTCAGACTCTTACCAAACTAAATCTAATGGAAAATTATTAAAAGCTGGTGAAAAGAGACTTAGTTATGTATGCACATTTATAATCAGTTGGAAGGTATAAACCAAGGCACTTGCCCATGTAAAAATGACAAAATCTAAAATGCAAACCCAGTAATACTCACTTTTGCCACATAACCTGAATAATATTTCAAATTGTCAGGATAAGATTCCCCATTTATCAGCACACCTCCAGAGAACTTTTCTGGATGTTTTCTTGCAGCCAAGACATCTAATAACCTGTGAGAGATGTATATGCAGTGGGATTTCTAGGCATAAACACAGGCCATATTGCTCATCCTTTCTGCTCGAGTCAGAAATACAAGCAATCTAGAAACTCTATTGTTTATCTAAATATATACATTCACTATGGAACACATGAAAGCCTCCCAAATACAAGTATGTTATCATTGGTTTATCTGGCACAGACTTCCCAAAGTATCCTCTTGATGTGGGAACTTGGAGAGTCCAAGCAGGCAATGTGCTGTTTTATGTAAGAATAGATCATACATAAATCATCTGTTACATCTTCCCATTTCAAATATTATCCACTTATTTTTAGCCTCCACTGATTCATAATATTGGCTGCTGAAAACCAATCACTTCATAAGTTCCTGGTAGTTAACCCGATCAATAAGACATTGTGGTCTTTCACAACCTGTCATCACTAAACATTATTTATAGCATTTTGGACCAGACCAGACACAACCAGCAAATACTGAACCAATAACTCATGTAACAGTGATTTGTAAAGGTACATTGAAACTGGGCAAAGAAGCTGAATGACATTTTCTTTTATACTTACACAGATTTGCCTGCACCTGGAGGTCCCAGAATGGCATTGAGGCCAGGTCTCATGATCCCACTGTAAGCATAAAATTATATTGACTTACCGTTCCACATTATACAAAACTGTATTAATTTTGAGTTTAATTGAACACTTATAATATAGGCCTATGAAATTATACACAGAAAGCAAGAATCCACACGAAATAAAAAATGGATTAATAGAAGATTAGAATACAAAGTAAAGATATGTTTACAGTCACAAACTATAAAAATGACTCAGGTCTCTCTAATTTCCTTTCATGTACAGAAATGTCTCAGTTCACAAATGGTTCTGTTTCAGTTTGGTTCACCTTTGGTCAAATTTTGCTTCCTTTTACAAACTCCACATTGGGGGAAAGAAAGGACAATGTCCTTCTACCCCAAAGGAACATAAAAGTGGACATCTGTGTTCTGGCCCAAAGCTGTAGATTCCTCCATTTCCATTTGAGATCTTGGTTGCAGACACTTTTTCTAAAGGGTGTTTTGCTTAGCTTTTTAACACATACAGTTCCATCTGGTATTATTTGATGTAGCACAGCCCCAAAGAAAGTGCAGAGCAAGCATCAGGGTAAAACAGTGTTCAGAGGTCAGGAAGACAACAAGCATGCTGACCAGTAATGAATCAGGTTAGGGTCCTTTCCCTTCACTCTGTCCTGTCCTGCACTTTGTTTTATGTTCTTGTAGTTAAAAAATATACATATACATATACATATACATAAAATATACATATACATTAAAAAATCTTATTTGAATTGAGCCTTTTGGGAAAATTTGATTCAATTTGTAACTATTTTGGGAGTGCTCAGAATGAATCATTCTTGTTTACACCGAACCTTATGGTGAAATTTGATTCGATTTGCAAGAAACACTGTTCAAGTCCATAACTGTAGAATGAATTAAGTTTATGAAAGGAAGCACCACAATAGTCTCAAAGCCAATTATCCCTTTGTAACTGTATTAGTTAGCATTCTCTATAGGAAGAAAATCGATTTAAAGCATACATATAAACAAAAATATGTATTAGACCAATCTGCAAGATAAAAAGTAGAAGAGTAGCAAGGGCCATCTGCAGGATCAGAAGTAGGAAGTACCAGCATGGCCCTCTGTGTGCTGGTGATTCAGAGGATCCAGGAGCAGCCAGAGCTGGAAGCCTGAAAACTCACAGTAAGTCACTTGTGTGAGTCTCTGTCTGAAGGTCAAAAAGTCTGCATGGAAACGCTCAGGAGTCAGCTAGAAAGTAATCCTTCCTTCTTTCTCTTTGAAATCTGTGCCTTCCAATCCATATTTAGTCTTCCAACCTCAAGTTATTGGCACGCATATCAATGTTTTACAAACACCACTGCAATTTAATAATCCCCTCAGGTGGTTCCTATTCAAATTGAAATATCACAGTTGATCACAATTCACTGTCTGTAAACCTGACAACCATACACATCTCCTACAAGAATACTTAACCCCCAATACAATTGAAAGTACTTAATTACACCAAGCATGATGAAAACACACTACGTCTCTCCTACAATGTCTCTCCTACAATAGAAGACACAATGCTTCTCTGGGTGATTCTTGCTCCTCTGGGGACATTCATTAATTTATGTATTATGCAGATTTAAGAAAGCTTAAGAACCAATGAATATTGTGCTACAAAAATTAAAATGAACAGAGGCACTCATTTAATAGGTGGATTACTATGCATAAATACATAAACAAAATAGTAAAGATATACTCATGACCATTATAATTCATACTTCTGTAACTGGCTGGTGTTTCTCACTGGTTTTGATAACTAACATCTAACAACAATGTTGTATTTCTTTGATCTCCAGAAAACAACTCAGAAGATCTTGGTTCTTGACCTGGTGTGGTGACACTATCATTCGTCAAAGTTCTGGGTCTTTTGTCATCCATGCTGCATTGAGTGTCATAATTTCCCATTGCTATGATTTATATCTTCACTGACCCCCAGAGTCTCATGTATTCCCTCTAATTTATCCTTTTTTTCTCCTTTTTCTCCTGCTCCCTGCCCAAATCCCATTATACCTGCAATATATAGTATAGGCTACACTATACCTTATAGATCATTGACATAAGGGAAAATTATTAAAATGAATTTTAAAGTTCACAGTAATATATAATAGAATCTGCTGATACTATGTCATCAGTAGGGATTTTCTCTGAAAAAAAAAAACAGTGGCTGTGTGTATTTCTACTCACTTGAGTAGATTTATAACATATGTGAACATCAAAAAATCAAACAAAGCAAAGTTGATATCAATGGGAAAAAACAAAGTATCTAATAAGTTCTCCATATTAGCCACGAATGAATATCTCCACTCCAACTGACCACAAGCATTCAACACACACACACACACACACACACACACACACAGAGAGAGAGAGAGAGAGAGAGAGAGAGAGAGAGAGAGAGAGAGAGAGAACAAGGCCAAAAAACAGCTTATTCCCCAAAAAGCTTTCCAATATCACTGATGAGGACACCCCAAGTCTGAAACATATAGAATGATAAAAGAGAAACAAAAAGGCCAATAAGGTGTTCAGTAAACTCAACATGATATATTCAAAGTAATAATGGACTTAACTATCATGATTTTAAAGAAAAAAAAATGAATAAAAAGCCATTAGCTGGGAGTCACCAGTAGATTTTTCTATAGCACAAGAAGCACTAACAGCCTTGGGAGGTGGATTCTATGCCCTGGCTGCAGCCACAAACCCATACCTAGCCAACTCTGCATTCTGTTTCTTCTCAGAACATGGGCCACAAAGGAGCCTGCCAACTGACTGACCTGATATGAGATGTTTTTAAAAAGAAGTGAAAAATCTGAAGTCTGCTACTTTTCATCTCAGAAACTCACAAAAATAAAAGATACACACAGGAGGAAAAAATGCCTCTCACACACTTAATCAAGCAAGTCCCCACACAAAACGCTGCAGCTACTGATGCAAGGACAGAGTTACCCACTAATTCTGAGGCAGTGTTCCATTTTGCTTCCCCATGGCATTGTAGCACCAGTGGTGAGAACTGACAAACTGCCCTAATCCTGAATAAGGACAATACCAAAGAAAGAATGGAGCAAACAGATTCCATGACTATGGACATTTAGTCCAGCATGCAATGTGACCTCCAACCAGAAGAGAAAGAGTTTGGCAAAAGGAATGAAAATATGTTCTGTGCGTGTGCCAACTTCTCAGAAGGAAGGTAAGCACTATCCATTACAATCATGAAGGGATAAATCTGGGAATCAAGAGATGGATGGAGGAGCAGAGAGGGAAGGAAAAGGTGATGAAAGATTGAAATTAAGATGCATTGTGCCATGTACCAATTCTCCCCAAACATGTACTAATGAAAAAAATATAAAAATGTAATATACCTAAAAAATATAATAGAAAATATGAATGGCCAATGTTGCAAGCAATTAAAGTCCATAAAAATGTGCCAAAAGGAAATCCATAGAATAAAATCTCTATTGAAAGTATGGGGAACACATTTAACCAATGAGAAGAAAGAAAGTGAGAACAAGAGTGCTAGAACATAGGATTCATTTAGGATGCTATATATTCAGAGATAGCTCCAAACCTACAAAAGGTCATGGGGATTGATTCAAAAACCGATAAATGAGGCAAAGATGACTAATTTTATGTTAAGAATCAAGAAAAATTAAGAAGATAGCAAAAATAGTATAAAAACTCTGTGTACTGAAACCATACAGTAGGGTTTTTTCCCATGAAAAAGAAATTCATGGCCATGTATTATTCAGTGGTTTGAAAGAGAGCAAATTTAACACAGGACAGGTCCCAAAAAACAGAGCTATAAAGGGACAGGGACAAGGAAGAACCAAAGAGATCAACTAGGTTGGGAAGTACTTCTATTAGGGAATAAGAATATGGAGCAAGTATTAAGAATAATGGAAGTCAAATTTTTTTTGAGATTTCACAAACTTGAAAATGTGAAAATATGCAGAATTGGTGATTTAATGAGAAGTCATGGATTTTATGTGGGTATGTATTGCTTCTATATGTTCATGAATATATAAAAATCTTATTTCTATTCTCTTAAATGGACAAGAAAAATTATACCTGCATATATATAATTGATACATAGGTTAATTTTTTAGTTTTTATTTTTTGTACATTTGCATTACATACTGATTATTTTTTGTGGAGAGTCATTGTATATACCTAACATATATCAATATTTTTCTCACCCATTTCCCTCCACATCTCTCCCTCTAATTCTTGATCCCCAGTCCATCTGAACAAAATCTCTGTCCCTATATCCCATTATCTATGATATATATATATATATATGTTTATATCATATATATATGTACATATATTTGTTTATATCATATATATATGTACATATATTATATATAATATGTATATATCATGGATAATGAGGTATAGGGGTCATGTATATTATATATACGTGATATAGGGAATATATATATATATATATATATATATATATATATCCTTGTCATATTGGAGGAACCATATTATTTACAGTGGTGTCTGACCATTTTATTTAGTATCATGGCTTCAATGTGCATCTGTTTTCCTATAAATGACCCAAGGTTGTTCTTTGTTACAGAAGAACAGTACTCCATCATGTACAAATAAATTTTTCTTCCTTTAATCTTTGATATATACCTGTACATCACATTTTAAAAACATCTTGATAACTAAAGAAAAGACATTTCATTGCTTTACTCCAAAGTTATCTAAATAAATGAATACATGTGTCTATATCCCTGTATTTCTACACGGACACAAAAGCTCACAAAACATTGTTGTAGTATGGAAAACCTACATAATTTATTGTAGATCAACAAAGTACTCTTTTAAAAAGATCATACACATACCTTATATTTGATAATAGTTCTTTCTCCACTGTTTTGCAACGAAGTAGAAAACCACTCTTCACTTTTTCTCGATAGCAGATGTTATAAAAACTTAACACAGCCCCTTTGGTGTATGACTTCAGGTCACTAAAGGTCATCTCAGAAAGACCGCTGGTGTTTCTTGGTGACAGTGGAATACCAAATTGCTCATTACCGGAGGACATCTGGAGAATTATCCCTTGTTTTAATAGGAAAGGTAAGAGTTAGGTGAGACTCTCACTAAACTTGATTGTAAACCCTAGGAAGTACATTTAAGTCAACATGACTTAAAATGCATTGTAACAAGTAAATTCCTGACCAGTAAGCATCCCACAGAACTTCTTTAATACCTACAATGATCTGTGAATATATTAAGTCCTATTGTCATGTTCCTAGGACAAAATGGGAACTAATATTAAACAATATAAATATTTCTAATAATATATAAAGGATGAAAAAGATCACTGATGATTAGACTAATCTGGCCTGATAAACGCGAAGTAAGACAGCTTTATTCAGAGAAAAACTACCTGATCATCATACTTCACTGCATTTTATTTTAATGTGGAAATTTATGGTTTTGTTAGTACAAAAGAGATTTAGTGAGTCATCAGGAACAGGAGTAATTTCTCTAAACGTATATATCCTAACTACACCTGTGGGTATGATATGCTTCCAATCAAATAGTATGTGATATACCAAAATGATTTTCATAAACACAATCATGTATTTAATTGGGAAACATGTAGTATTCACTTTTTAGAAAGATGCAAAGTTATGATTAAGATGATGACAAAAAAGCCTATAAAGATCACAAGATTTTGAAGCAAAACTTGAATATTGTTCATAAAAATGTTCAATGTTTAATGAAACAAGTTACAAAAGGCCATGTAATGAGGATTATTCAAACTAAACATTAGGTGAACTGAGCTAAGGAAACAGCATTGAAATGTAACCTGCAATAAACTAGCTTTCATTTTTAAAAGCCAAAGCTATCCATGCATTACCTTCTGTGTACCTATGTGTGTTTTACTAACAGCTTCAACCAAATCATTCTTATGGGAACAATCACAAAGAAGAAGACAAAAATGAGAAGCCACTGGGGAAGAGTTCTCTAATGAGAGAAACCAAAACATACAGAACTCAAGAACCAAAATCTTAGAAAGAAAGGAGCAACCCTGAACCCAGCTTAGAATTTTGTGCTTTTCTTGCCTAATATTTGCACAAGCAAACTCTGTCTGCCTGGGAATATTTCAGGAAAACAAAACAGAACGAAAATGCTAGAGGGTCTGCCTGAATGCTGTAAAGTATCTGAGCAGAAAATTCAGCAATCTCTCAGCTAGGAAATTTGGTCTCATAGCCTCATCAAAGACTAAGAGAGTTCAAAGAATAAGAACTACACACTAGCCTTTCCTGTGAGTGCAGATTTCTAGACACTTGTAGTGCTATCACAGAACTAGCAGCATATTTTTTAATAAAGCAAACCACATCATGTGTAGCTTTCTCTGTGAAAAAACCTGCCTTCTACCTCCTTGCTATTTCCTGGTTTCCAAGCCCTGCTAATCCTAACTGCCTTGTTCTCATTTTCTATGTCCTAATCCCAAAGTATGTACCTCAAGTTCATAAACAAAAACTTCCAAGGAACTTCCCAGCCCAACCTGTACCCCTCCCTGCTCATGATTTCTGGGCTAATTAACTATGTCTTAGGGCTTCTTTTTCTCTTCCCAGCTGTGCTATTTCTGGACCTTCTGGCTTTTGCCTTGTAAATATATGACTCCTGCAAAATCAGAAGCCTTTCCTTATCTTTGGAGTAATTCTGCAAATTGAGCTCAATGCCATCACACTGAACTACACAACCAGACCCTTTTTATTTTGATTTTGATTATCTTCATATGACATTAAGTTGTCTGGCAATGCTCCCACTTTTTATCCCCCTGCCTCAGTCTTTCAGAGTACTAGTTTGCTCCAACATATTTGGTGAGCAAAACTCTAAATGATTTATTTATATTAATCCCAAGAGATTAAAATCCTGCCAGGAACCACACTGGAGACTGAAGTAGAATGATCATTACTTGAAGGCTGGCACCATCTTCATAGTAAGATACCCCTCTCACAAGAACTGGAAGAGGATAAGATTCATGAGAAAATAAAGATAAACAGTGGGAAGAAAAGGAAGACAGAGTGAAAGGAAGAAGGAGAAAAAGAGGGAGAGGGCGAATACATTTCCAAGAAGTCAGGGTCCTAATGGTTTTATCAGGTGGCTGTCTTTCATGGAAAATGGAAAAAGAGACAAAAAACACAAATTTTAATATGCAAATAGTATCCCTTATATTTGTTATCTTCTGTCAATCAATGGTTCACATGTTGTCTCTCATTTGATATACATACCATGATGCACCTAATATTGACTCTGAATTCCCAGGTTGCTCATTTATGTTGATTTGGAGTCAATCAGCTCAATGACATTGCTCTAGGAATCCCCTAACTGTACACATAATCTAGAGGTCACAATATCACACCGAACATATAGAAGAGACCTCATCATGCATGATGTGCATGTTCATTGAGAAGACTTGAGGCTTTACATGTACAAATAACCATATTGAAACACAAAGGACAAACAAACCCCTTTGGCCTTAACCTACTACTCATCAAAAGTATGATTTATATTTTTTCCTTATGAATTCAGAGACATGAAGGTGGTTTATGCTGAAATGACATAATTCATAAGCTGGGCCTACACAGGTTATGACTAAACAAGGATTGACTTTATTTTGTAAGACTCTGGGTCAAATCCTTCTCAGCTCTGCATGCAGCCATGTTAGTCATCTAAGAAAACTGTCTGCAACAATTTAAAACTAAAATGACTGTAAATCACAAAATTCCAAAGTAAGAGTTGTGGGAGTTGATTCGATCATTGGGGTACCATTCTGTCAATGGATTAATCCACTGCTGGGTACATAAATGAACATAGTATTAAGATGTGGGGCCTTATCTGAAGAGGTGGGTCACTGCAGGCAGGACCTGGGATACATATTTTATAGTATAATATCTAATAATATATAACACACTACAGTATAAATAGCAATTTTCATAATTCTAGAGGCTTCCAAGTCTAAGGTCAGGGACTAGCAGATTTAGTGTCTGGTGAAATCTGTTTTCAGGCTTACAGATGGATCCTGTGTCATCACATGGTGGAAGGTCCAAGGCAGCTGCCTAGGTCTTCTTTTATTTATTTTTTATTGAATTCTTTGGTACAATTTACATATACATAATGATCACTTTCATCCTAGGAAATTTGTACTCATACAAGATTTATCTTGGTTCCTCTTTTTCCCCCTATTCTCGCCCTCTTCCTTCAACCCATCTTCCTCATATAAAAGTTGTTACCATTTTATCCTTCTTTTTCCTCAATTTTTTCTTCTGCTTTCCTCATTTCCCACTCCACTCTCCCTATTTACCTTTTCTTTTTGTATAGTTCCTTACAATTTCACAATATCTATTATAAATTTTGTTTTTATGTACACTATCCCCCTTTTATTATCTTCCTGGAAGAACTAAAACCCTCCTCCCACAGTATCTGTGGTTATGGGAGTACAGTTTGTAATAACTAAATCTTGGAAACAACCCAATGTGAACTGGCCAATGAATGAGTACAAATATGTATCTTTTAAATATATAATTGAGTACTGCTCAACCATAAAGAACATATTCTTTTACTTGGGTCCTCCCTTTCTCTGCTTCTAGGCTACCACAAGTTAAGCAGCAAATGAGATTCATGATATTTAAATGCATGTAACCGGGGAACAAGGGTCTGACAGACATGACTTCATATTACACATTTAGTTGTTCATGGTCTAATAAATAGTACATAAGGATCTTAAGTTATAAAATCCATGAAAGCATTTCATTGCACTGCCTTGCCTTGTTTATTGTGTTTGGGTCTTTGTTGACAACAGCATGTGTTCCCTCTTCTTAGAAAACTACCTGAAAATAGGCACATCCTTTCTGAGATCTGCTAATGTAAAATTGAACCCAACACTTTCCTACCTGTTAACATGTAAAATTGAACCCAACACTTTCCTACCTGTTAACATGTATTACATAGTAGCAGAGTATAAGCCATGAGTGACACCATATGCTACACATTAAAGTGACCTAAATATTATATTTTATGGTATCTAAGAAAACTGAAAATGATAGCTTTTCCCTGAAGAGAAGCTTTTTAAAATTATGACTAACGTTGAGGTCAAGGTTACTGATTTAGAGCCTAGAGGAAGCTGGATCAGGGAAACCTATTAACATATAAAAGTACATGGCACCAAACCCACATTTGCTTACTACTAACTTCCTTTGAGACTGTTCTCTTTGGGTCTGTTGACCATCTGATAAGGATAATGCACTGGCAATTGGCTGGATCGGTCCTGCTTGGAGGCAGAGCTTCTGTAGCAAACTATGAGACTATTGAACCACTTTAATTACTTGATAATAACTGCAAATTTCTAAAAAAGCAGAGAGAATGAAGGCTTCCTCATAGAGCAAAAACAGTCCAGAGAGGAAATGGATCCACCAGATGCAGATTTGTAATCAATATTCTTTTCATAACAAATTCATAACAAATTATTCATAAATAATTACATAGCATGACCTTTTAGTAGAGAAAGGTGGAGATATTGGTGGTCATGGATGTATGCCCGTTCTACTTCTTTTAGTCTCTGAACAGAAATCAGAGTTGCCACTTACTAAGCAATGCCCTGTGCCAGAGTTGCACAGTGATGGGCACTCCAGATGTGGGAACCCTTGCTCAATAGATCCTGCTCAAGGCCTCATTGCTGCCAAGCGAAAGAAAAGAGCCATGCCCAAATTTTTCTGACAACAAAACCCTCTCTTTCTGCTCCATGTTAAAGAAAGGTGCCAAAGTCTCAATTGCAAACATGTTTTAGATAAAAGTTGCTGCACTTGGAATCTTTCAACAATACTTCCTGTGCTTTCAGGTCATACAGAGATATGCTTACCAGATGGGCGCTATTGGAAGGTACTGCTGAGAACAAAGGGGAGGTAACAACTAATGAACCTCTTGGCTTCATTTTCTAGAATAACCTGCTTTAGAGTTACTATACACAGGACAATTCAAAGTCAGAAACGAGTTCTGTTTTATTTCTATGGACTTGTTGATAAAACTGCAGTATTACAATATCT